GTGGCACACCGCTGAAGTCCTCCAGCACACAGGTTAGCCTGAGCTACAGGGAGAGATTAAGGCCAGCCTGAACCCTATTTCAAAAACCTTAACAACCTTCCAAAAGATTCCATAACAGAAAAGAAGGGAAAACAAGACAATGAAGATTTTGGGGGGGTTAGATGGTCTAGTTGTTAAGAGCACTGGCTATTATTCTTGCAGAGAACCCAGTTTCAATGGCCAGCACACATATAGCAGCTAACAACCATCAGTAACTACTCCAGTTCTGGGGGATCGGACACCCTCTCTGGCCTCCTCTAGCACTGCATGCATGTGGCATACTTAAATACATGCAGGTAGAACACTCATACACATAAAAGTTAAAATTAAAGACTTTAACAGGTTTAAGAAAACATAAAGAAACCACAGAAGGCACCGCCATCAATGGAAACCATTGCAGGGAGACAAGGAAATGGGAGATAAAGGATGGGAAGAAAAGGCTTTTTAACAAACACTTTGAATTTTTAATCACGTAAATATATGGCCTATTTAAAGTTAAGTCAAAATATGTAGCTGTTCATTAAATGTGCTTATTTGTACCGAACTGAAGAACAAGAAGCGAAGGAAAGGCAGCACTGGAACAGGTAGCAAGAGGCAAGGAAACCATGGACACAGAAGTCCGGGGCAGTTCAGAGGGCGATGCAGGCTGTCTGCAGGGCCTGCTGGGAAAGTCCACGCAAAGCCCAACAAGGCCCTCAGAAGCTCAGGATGGCTAAAGCAGTGTCATTCAGAACAGTGTCCTGACAACGTGATGCCTGGTCCCCAGGGCCTCGCACCCCTTGGAAGCATGACAGGGAACCCAATGATGGGAGTTTTCTGTCCCTCCTAAAGGGGAAGGAACTAGGAAACAAGTGTCTGTGCAAGCCACCATGCTGATTACTTAGAAAACAAGACCTCGGGAAAGAGAAGATTCCACTCTATCGTCTACCACAGAAAAGATATTTATCTTACAAAGAATCATTTACAGAGATCCCTGGAAAACAAACAAAAAGGGATGTCTTCGTAGTCATTTCCGGCCCAGGATCTTTTGATTTGTGGGTTAATTCCCAGTGTGCCTCCTTGTAGGAGAAGCCCTGCTAATTTAGCCTATGTAAGGTCTAGTTAGTAACACCACAAAGGATTTGCAAGTAAATTGAGAAAGCTTTTTTTAAATCAAATGAAAATTCCTCATTTAAAAGTACAATGGGAGCAATGGATATAGCTCAGTTAGCAGAGCTTTGCCTACCATGCATGGGCCCTGGGTTCAATCCTCAGCACTTCATAAAATGGATGAGGAGGTACATGTCTGTAATCCCAGCACTCAAAAGGTAGAGACAGGAATGTGAGTTCAAAGTCATCCTTGCTATATGGTAAGTTTGAGGTCAGGCTGGGCTACATGAGACCCTGACACAAATAAATAAGCAAATATACAATGGGCACTTCTACTTCTCAACTGTCAGCAATGCACTCTTTTTTTTTCGGTCTTTTTGAAACAGGGTCTCCCTGTAGCCCCAGCTGTCCTGGAACTCACTATGTAGACCAGGCTGGCCTTGAGCTCACAGAGATCTGCTTGCCTCTGCCTTGCAAGTGCTGGGACTACAAGCGTGTGCTACCATGCCCAGCTCATATATATTTTATTTTTTATTATTTTATGTGTATGAGTGCATTGCCTGCATATGTGTGTGTAAATGCACTCATGTTGTACAATGCCTGTGGAGGTCAGAAGTCGACAGATGCCCTGGAACTGGAGTTACGGATGGTTGTTAGCCACCATGTGGGTGCTGGGAATTGAACCTGGGTCCTCTGCAAGAGCAGTCACTTAGCCATCTCTCCAGCCCCCAGCAATGCATTCTTAACAGAATTTGTTTGCTTTACTGTGGCCATTATATTATACATATGTTTTATGCAGTCCTGAATGGTGGTATGTATTTTAAAAATTTTTTAAAAATTTAGAGCCAGGTGTGGTGGCACACACCTTTAATCCCATCAATCAGAAGGCAGAGGCAGGCAGATCTCTGTGAAACTGAGGCCAGCCTGGTCATCGTGGCCAGCCTGGTCTACGTAGTGAGTTCCAGGTCAGCTGAGGTCACAGGGAGACCCTGTCTTTAAAGATGGGCCCAGAGTGGTGGCACAAACCTTTAATCTTAGTACTTGGGAGGCAGAGGCAGGTGGATCTCTGTGAGACTGAGGCCAGCCTGGTCTACATTGTTGAGTTCCAGGCCAGTCAGAGCTACATGGTGAGACCCTGTCTCCAAAAAAACAAAAACAAGCAAAAAATTGAAGACCACTAAAAATATAAGTAAAATTATTCTTACTGGTAAACATTTGTCCTTGTGATAAGGCCAAAGGCTAAAGTTCAACTTTGTGTGTGGTACATGTTTATGTGCATGTGTGCATGCAGGTATGCATGCATAAATGTAGACATGCATTTAGAGGCCAGAGGTCAATGCCAGATGTCTTCCTCAATTGCTTTCTGCCTTTCTGCTTTAGACAAAGTCACTTACCAAACCCTGGAGCTCACCTCAGTTAGGCTAGCTGGCTCATGAGCTTGTCTCCAGAGTTAGGAAAACAGGTACATGTTTTCTTACATGGATGCTAGGGACTTGAACTCAGGTCCTCTTGTGTGGCAAGCACTTTACTGACTGAGACATCTCCACAGCCCCTGAAGTCAAATCTTCTGTCAGGACAGGCCAGACCTATAATGGAGCTCCATTGACAATAACTTGGCTTATCCTTTAGGAACAAGGACCCACTCTCCTTGGAGAGTCCTCAGTCATGAACCAGGCCACTGAAATATGGAGCACTGGGAATGGAAAGAGAGCATTCAATGGGGCAAGACCCAGAGAGAGAGGTTCATAAAGGAAAATGGAGGGGAGGGAGGGCCTGGAGAGATGGCTCAGTGGTTAAGAACACTTGCTATGCTTCCAGAGGGACCTGGGCCCGATTCCCAGCACTCACATGATGGCTAACAACTTGTCTATAACTCCAGTTCTAGGGGATCCAATACCCTCTCTGGCCTCTGCAGGCATTGCATGCACATGGGTACTTACACACATGCAGGCAAAACACTCATACACATAAAATAAAATATTTTTTAAAAAACAAGGAAAATGGCTCTGACAACTAATAGGTCTCTCTATTTTTTTCATATCTTAATTTGATTTAAGGAAATGAAGTTTAATTGTATGTAAGATGGAAAATTAATTTAGGCTCAGAAATGAAGTGACTTACCAAGAGTCATGAATTCTTTTTGTGGTTTGTTTTTCTTTATTTCACCTATAAATTATTTGTGGTAGCTTGAATAATCCATACACAATAAAGAAAAATGTAAGTAATAAATGTGGTGAGTCATGGCAGGCAGTCAAGATCTCTTATTTGCAGTCTGCTGTTCTTTATGCTGTATCGTATTTCGTTCCTTAAACATGAAGACTGAAGACTACTGGCTCTACCTGTCCCTACTCTGCAGCTGTTCTGAGCTGCAGCAGAGGCACACGAGTAAAGGGCCACATTGTGTGGAGAATGTCTTCACTACCTTTGCATCCAGAGCTAATAACTACAGAGCTATACTTAGGCCCTTACATTTTTTTTTAATTTTATTTAAAAATTTTATTTAGTGTGTGAGGTATACATACGTACGTACGTACATGTATGGGGCGGGCAGAGGACAACTTGCAGGAGTCTATTCTCTCCTTTTACCATGTAGGACCTAGGGACTGAACTCAGATCCTCAGGTTTGGTGGCAGGTGCTTTTACCTGCTGAGTCTTCTCCCCTGTATAGCTAGATCTTTTAATTCTATCCCACTATCAAACCAAAGAAGCTACAATTTCTTTGAAAATACTGAAATACAATTCAGTTAGGGGCAATTTAAAAGGGCAGTTTTGTTAACAATGACGGTACAATGAAGCTTTATATTTGTTTTTTGGATTTTTTTGGTCTTTTTGAGGCAGGGTCTGCCTATAGCCTCAGCTGGTCTGGAACTCACTATGTAGACCAGGCTGGCCTTGAACTCGCAGAAATCCGCCTGCCTCTGCCTCCAGAGTGCTGGGACTAAAGGTGTGCCACACCACACCTGGAGAAGCTTTATATTTGTAAATACAGAGCCATCACCCCCATCCTGTTCTCTGGAAAACCCTGTAGATACAAATCTTTAAATGACATCTGCTGAATGAGACTGAGATCAGTCTTCGGGATTCAATGGCCAGTTACCTGACCAATGACTCCAACCAGGAGGCTCTGTGTCTTCACTTGCTTTCTTAGAAAGAGATCTAAGATTTGGTGAAATATTGGTTTGGGAAGTCTGAACCGCTTTGTCAAATAAAGACTGGCCTTTCACCTACGTTCTTTGTCCACTGGAATAGCAGTATTGATTTTGCTGCAAAGATCCATCCGGAGAACTGTGTAAGAAGACTGAAGACCGGGAGCTTTCCCGGCCCAGTGTGCTTTACTGCTCCTGTCCTGGCCCCCCAACGGCAATGCTCCATTGTCATACAGGAGGGCTGAACAGAGAGTAAATCCAAGGTCTTCATGCACTGCATTAAGCAGTCTCTGCTTATGATGCATTATCTTTATAAAGATGGAATTTCAAATGTGTGTCAGGGGGTTGCACAGGGCTGTAGTGTCTTTCTGAATGCTGGAAAATGGACTTGTCTCCCTCACTCTCCCTGCCCTCCTTTCTCCAGCCCCTCCCCAGCCCTCAGGACCTCACACATGCTAGACAAGTGCTCTAACACTGAACTACATCCCCATACCCTATGTTATTTTTTTTTTCTTATCTGGCCTAGAGCCAAAAAAGAAAACTTCTTAACAGAAGTGACAAGTAGGAAGACCTGAAAGTGACCCTTAGCAGCAACAAAATGGAAAAAACGATCCGAGTAAAGCAGCTGAGGCCCAGGCTACTTCTCCCCACTCTGGCAGACACAGCTCCCCCTCTCCCGAGGCCTGAAGGGATGGGGCACTGGCTGCTGTGCTTCCTCCAACTCACTTTCTGCGTCAAATAGTAAGGGTCAAAGTCCTCCAGGGGAACAGCAACCAAGCCTTGGGGGATGTCCCCATAGATGAAAGGCAAACTCTTCCCTGCCTCCAGGTCACTGTTTGGCTTGGGCTTGCTGTCCTCATCGTCTTCTCGATGGCTGCCATCCGCCTTCGGTGGTTTCTTGAGCTTGCTCTCAGCAATGCGCCTCTCGATGTTTGCCAGTGACTCAGGGGTGAAAGGCTTGAAACTATCAGGGCCTGGTGGTGCGAGCAGCCGCGCTGCCATCTTCTCATCCTGCAGCAGCTTCGTTAGTTATGCTGTGTCCAGGACAGGTCAGCTCTGGAAGAACAGCAATACAGGCAGCATTAATCAATCACCCTCTAACAAAGAGGCCAGATTAAAGCAGCTCATTCTCAACCTTTATTCACAATCTTTGCAACACAGTTTCCACCATGACATGGTTCTTTTTTCTTAGGACAATTTGGGGCATAAATGGCCTGAGTGACCTTTATAACGTCCCTCAGGAATGATCAGCTAGGGAGATGGAAAGATCAGGTCTCCCACACTGCTAGCATTTATTATATTTGCCTAAATCCAACTCACAGAACCACACACAAATAAAAAAAGATGTGTTCCATATCCCCTGGGAAGCCTGTTCTCAACTAATAAGGCATCTTAAATATCCCCAGGGGCCAAGTGTTCTTGTGTGCTTAAGTTACATTCCTCCCCCGAGATATCTACTCCCCAAAGAAACAGTCTTCCTTTAAGGGCAAGGTAAGGGTAAACTGTCCCTCTTCTCAAAAAGTTTACTTTCTATAAATAAAACTAACCCTTCAAAACTTTTGCTGGCATAAAATATTGATAAAATGGCTTCCATCTGTGTTTGCCCTTTCATTGCCAGGTACTTCAAGTCACAGAGTTGTCTAAAATCTGCCCAGTATAAAATTCCAGTAGTATCTGATTTTAATAATCAAGCTCCCACTAGGGTCAAACAAGCAACACATTTTTCTGTGGAGAGGGCAGCCACGGCTCCCCCAACCTCTGGCTAAGCAACCCAAAAGGCAGGAGGGAGTCCCGAGGTTCCTCCCCACACCAGCACTGCAGCACTGCAGGCCCAGGAGGCCTGGCTCCCCAGGAGGGCTCAGGGAGGGAAGAACTGTCAGGATGGTGCAGCGGACAAGCTCTCTAGAAAGAACAACTCAGGGACTTCTCAATCTAGTATGTGAAAAATCATTTTTACTTCCATTATGGAACCTGAGTTATCTCCATCCAAGCCTGGAAGAACAACTGCTCAGTCCTTGCCAGGAAAGGACCAAGACACTGGCAGCTCACTTGGCATTCAAAGTGACACAGTCATTCTTTTAGCTTTGGGAGCACAGGGATAATGCAGGAAATACATCCTTTGATGCTATGTTTTCTATTCTCTACAGATGTTTAAATATGTGCACGTGCACGCATGCCGTGACACCCATACCCAGGATATAGTTTGTTCTTTCCCCCTCCTACTTAGCCCTCAGGGTCTACTTCAAGTATCTAGGTAACTCAAGGCTCCTAAAGAGAATGGTGGTAAAGCAAACTCTAAGTAATTTGAGAGTGCAGTCCCCTAGGGCTCCTTTCATAAATCTACCTGCTTTGACTCTGCTTTTCAGGTGACTATGCGCTACTGAAGCCTGTGGCCAGGCAACTCCTCGGTTGACAGCATGGGGTCCATGGACTCAGAACCACACATTGGCCCCACACAGACTAGGTAGCTTCCCACTGCACCACAGGTCCAGGCAGGGGAAGAGGTCAGAGGAATTATTTCCAGGTAAGAAGCATAGACACGTCTAGTCCCATCCATTTGGCAAATGAGGAAATGCTGCCGAAAGTCACAGGACCAGGATAAAAATCACAACCAACGGCCAGCAATGTAGCTCAGTGGATGAGGGTACTTGCTGCCAAGCGTGACAACCTGAATTTGATCCCTGAGCCCCACATGGTGGAAGGTGACAACTGACTTCCACAAGTAGTCCTCTGGCCTCCAGATATACCCTGTAACATGGGCACTCACCCCACCCCCATACAATAAACGTAAAACAAGATTTTTTATTTAATCTCAACCAAAGAGCCCTGACATCCCAACTTCTATTTCTTTTACAACAAAAAATAAGTTAATCCAATCCTGCCCCCCACTAGTCCCAACAGGAACAATCTGGTTCATTAAGCAAAATCATACAGAAATGATATGGCTCTACTGAGGCAAGACTTTATTTACGAGGTTTCCCCCAGCACAGACTCCCTTTCCCCTCATTCTTCCTGTCTACCCCTGCATGCAACTAGTAAACCCTCTTCCTCTAGACCCTTGCCACCACTCCAACCTCTGTGCGTGCCTCCCCTTCTGCCTCTCACAGTGCTCCATCAGCAACTGAGCTCACACTCTCTCAGCTACTCCAAGTCCTTGCTCCAGAACAGCACATGAGGTAGATATTATCAACATTTAACAGATGAAGAATCAGAGGTTCAGAGAATATGACTTGTCCAAGGACACAACTAGAAAATGACAAAGACAGGACTCTGAATACTCCTAGTCAATTGTTTTCGCCCTCAATACTCAACAGTCTGGAGGTCTGAGGTCAGAAACTAGACAGGATTATGCTTGGAACCCTCAATGAGACCAAGTATCTGAAACTCCAGGCTCCAACTTCCACATTCATCCTCAAGCCTAGATCTGTCTCCATTCCTACTAGGAGGACAAAGAATATTGCAAGAGTAAGTCACTTACAATGCTGAGAACTTGTGGTCTAGTTGCAGGTAGCCATGCTGGTCACTGCAGCCCAGGCTGTGTCCACCGCCTTTGCTCCCAGATTCTGCTTCCTCCCACCTTCTCCAGGACCAGGTCCCTCAATTCACCATTCCCCAACACATTTTCCTTCCTAGGCCTTTTCTCTGTATACCTGCATCCCCCACTCACTCTCTTTACCTATGGCCTTAATGACATTCACTGTGCCATCCTGGTCCCAGCCACAGTTGTGATCTCCCCTCTGGACAGGCCCTCTTCTCCTTCTCAAATCTGTTAGTCTTTCCTTTAGGCTGTCTACCCCGAGGTGTGTCCACAGGTGACTCTCAGGCTTCCATCACCAGTGCTCACCATCCCAGAGCAGTCTCACAGCTATATCCATGGGGCTCTAGAGTCACTTGTAATTAAAGTCATTGAAACTATTCTCACTTCCCAGATTTCCCCCTGACTCTCTCATCTCTGTAGGTGGGACACCCTTCTTCCAGTCATCCAGCATGGAGCCTTAGTCACTGCTAGGCCCACTCTTCAGGAACAGCTTCCATTTTCAGGCATCACTGTCACCTTCTCAGGTCTCACTAAAGCAGCCTCCTCCTGATGGACCAGCCTCAGGCTACCCCAGTACTTTCCAAAGACCTTCTTCCCTAAAAGCCTGCTTGTCACTGGCATTTTTGTCCCTCACCTCCACCAGTTACATATCACATTCCAAACTCCAGGCCTCTGGCAATGTCCTGCTTCCTAGTCCTTTCTGATTCTCTGGCATCTGCTCTGGTGATTACTGTTTGTTTTCTAGTTTTAAAGGTAAACATGATAAGGTGTTTGGATCTACAGCAGCCTGTTTCATCTGTAATCTGTACACATCTGTGTAACAGCAGTTAGGATCAAGACATAGGATATTTACTTTCAGAACCTCAATCTGCTCTCTTGTGCTCCCACAGCAGTAATCACTTCCTGGATTCTTTTTGCTGCTTCTTAAACTTCACATAAGTAAAAATACAGTCTGGGGTCTGGTTTCTTTCCAACCATAACTCTGTGAAATTCACCTTTGCTGTGGGTACAGCAGTATTCATTTTTACTGCTGTATAGTATTCCATACACAACTACAGCACAGTTTACTCTCCTTTGTCAGGCTGTGGGTTGTTTTAAGCTCTTACAAATAAGATCTAAGCACCTCTTACTCATGTCTTTTGGTGAGCACTCACTAAAGCACTCCTTCCACAGGGTATGAGGGTTCCAGTTATTTCATATCCTCATCAACATTCAGAAGTAAGAGTCATCTTAATTTCACATGTGCTGGTGGGTATGTAAAATTTATTCATTGAGGTAAAATTTAGGTGACACAAAATTAACCATTTTAAAGCAAACAATTCAGTGGCATCTAGTACATTTACAACTGTCTCTCAGTTGAATGCAGAGCTAGTCCGGGTATCCAGCCTGCTCTGAGGAGCCCCTATCCCTGTCTTGTAACCTCTGGAATTACAGGCAGGCCCCACACTTACTGGCATTTACCTGGGCTCTAAGGATCTGAACTCTGATCTGCATGCTTGAAGTCAAGCACTTAATCACTGAGCCATCTCCACAATCCTGATGGTGTTTTTGATATGTATTTCTCTAACTATATTGATAGATTTTTTTCATATGTTTGATGGATTGGTATAGGTTTACTCTGCAATATCTGACAATATTGAGGACCTTAAAACAAACAAACAAACAAACAAACAAACAAACAAAAACAGGAAAAGCAACCCTTATGGTAGTGGTGGAGTTCATGGTAGAATGCTCCTAGCAAGTACAAGGCTCTGGGTTCGACCCTCAGCTTGAAGGGGAAAGAAAATATTTATTTTCATTTTATGTGTATGAGTGTTTGCCTGAAAGTGTGAATGTATATCATGTGCATGCCTAGTGCCCATGGAAGCCAGAAGAGGGAGTTGAATCCCCTAGAACTGGAGTTGCAGATGGTTATGAGCCGCCATGTGGTGCTGGGACTCAAACTTGGGTCCTCTGCAAGAGCATCAAGTGATTTTAACAACTGAGCCATCTCTCTAGCACCATGGAGCACCTTTTATGAGTGCTGATTATTGCTATATCCCCTTTGGTGAAATGCTGGCTTCAGCCTTCCTCACGTTTTTTTATTGGGTCATCTACATTTTTTCTTATTGGTTTATATTCTCTGTTTATTTACTGAACAAGTCCTTTATCAGATATAAAGTACCCGCCCCTCTCTTACATCCTTAGTGATATCTTTTAATAAACTGTAGCTCTTAATTTTAATGAAATTCAGTCTATCATTTTTTTCTTCCAAGTTAGTGCTTTTTAAGAAGAACCTGCCCCAAGGTCATGCAGGTACTCTCCAATGTTTCCTTCCTAGCCTAGGAGTCCTACCTCCTAGTCTTATCACACCATCCTCTTACCCGACTTGTGGATAGGGAATTGGGATGCAGACTGCTCTGGCTTCTTCCATGCTGAACAGGGATGCAGGGTGAGGCAACTGGGATTCCCCCTTCAGTGGGTCTATCTAAAAGGCTCCTAAATTGCATAACTCTTATCTGTAGGGGGAGAAGAAAGT